TTATAGCAGTGTGACTTCAGCATTATAGTTGTGCCACTTGCAATACAGATGGTATACTCTGTGTCAACCTACCCTGCAGTGGAGATGCAGCTATGTGATAGAAGAATGCTTCCACCAACACAGATACTTTGTTTGGGGAAGTATGTTTCTGTACTGACAGAAAACCCCTTTTGGCTGATGTGGGTTGTGATCGGTGTTCTCTATAAGCTCCGCACTTGTGCGGCTGCACAGGAAAGATTCAAATGCTTCCCACCTGATTAGCAGCATGCCCACAGCTAGGTTTTTTATTTCTATTGGTGATGCACATTCACAGATACCCTTGGTTCACATAAAAATTTATTCTGAACATGGATGGAAAACATTAGAGGGACCATAGGTTGTGACTATACTGACTGGATATTCTCACATAGCTACACTGACATGGCTAGGGCAGTGTCGTTTCTGTAGTACAGACACAGCCATTGACTTGCACCACAGTAAAACAATTGCCTAAAACCAATTTGATTCAGTCTGTGCAAATGGATGTGTAGACCAGTCCTTAGTGTCTGTTTGTACAGATCTCCTAGAATTACTGAGTGGTGTGGATCAGGAACTGTCTCACGCCTTGACTTGACTAGTGGAGGTGCCAAATCTTTAACTGTGAGGCATTCGCTTCTCCCTTTTGGATTTAAATACTGTTAAAAAACACAAAGGGCCTAATTCTCAGTTATCCCAAGGCCCTTTTACACTAGGCTGGCAGCATAAAGGGACCTTAATATATGAGGAAACAGTCCCCGGAGAATATCCTCTGCTCAAAGAGCATCCCTGGCTGGTCTAGAGATGGGGGAGTGACTATGCATCAGCCCTGCTTCCACATTTGGTGTAAGGGTGGTGACATGTTGGGGCATCTCCAGCAAACACTGAACTCCTGCTATTCTCCGCTTCCCTAGCCCTAAAGAGCACCCTGAGAAACAGAATGAAAATCAACACAGGCTCTCTCTGGATCCAGGTTATGTGACACTCGTGGTAATTTAAAGACACCTTTGCCTCGCTCCAGCCTTCCCTGACTCAAGCACAGGAATGAGACACAAAGAGTTTTAAACGTGCCATACAAAAAACCTTTCCTATTTCACTTAACAAAGTTCACTTGCACGATCTCTATGATGGCATAAATCAAGTAGATTTCCATAGTGTCTTTCAGGAAAAACAAGGTACACAATACCTACATTTCTGGTGGAGAAACAATGAGAATAAAAGGCTTTCTTAACACATCCTAAAGAACGTGAAAAAGAACATAAGCCCATTTTTACTTTACACTTAGACTCTCTTGACTCTGCTGTTTGAATTCTGAATGCTTGTGAGCCCTCTTACCTTGCTCAGACAGTCCTCATGTTTTCATTATCCCTAATAGCTCTTCAGGCTTTTCATAAAATGTCAAGGCCCCAAGCTCTTCAAGGCCCTTTTTCTCCAGCTGAATTAGTGGTTTTTGAAAGCAAACTTCTGAACTATTTCCTATTATTTCCAGTTCATCATGGCATTGGACCACCATGACAACAGAGAAAGGACAAACTTAAAACCAAATCAAAATTGTGTTTACTGCCTTTAAAGCACCAAAGAAAAATCAGAAGACATACTCAGGTTTAGAGAAAAACAATACTCACTTGTCCTTCAGTAGTCAAAATTAATATAAAGTATCTAAGATAATTAGAGGCACAGAGGACTGGCATCTGATCTTCACTTGGTTACAGATTGGTACTAAATACTCTTCTCATTGACAGGCCTAATTTTAAATTGTTGAGGTGAATATTGTTGGGTTAATTAAAAACCAAGCGTGAAAAAGAAACCTACTTGAAAAACAGGTTGGCTGCATCTAGACTGGCAAGTTTTTCTGCAAAAGCAGCTGCTTTTGCGGAAAAACTTGCCAGCTGTCTACACTGGCCGCTTGAATTTTCACAAGAACACTGACGATCTCATGTAAGATTGTCAGTGTTCTTGCAGAAATACTATGCTGCTCCCGTTCGGGCAAAAGCCCTCTTGCGCAAATGCTTTTGTGCAAGAGGGCCAGTGTAGACAACGCAGTATTGTTTTGCGCAAAAAAGCCCCGATCACGAAAATGGCAATCGGGGCTTTCTTGCGCAAAATCGCGTCTAGATTGGCACGGACGCTTTTCCGCAAAAAGTGCTTTTGCAGAAAAGCATCCGTGCCAATCTAGATGCTCTTTTCCGCAAATGCTTTTCACGGAAAAACTTTTCCGTGAAAAGCATTTGCGGAAAATCATGCCAGTCTAGACGTAGCCGTTGGGTGTGAAAATGCAGATTCACTGTAAAAGGAATGGGGGGGCAATGTCATGAGCATGAGATGATCGCTGTGGAGTTAATTTCTCATACATGGCAAAGTTGGTTAAAAGCATCATATGGTTTTGCTTTGACTTCAGTTGGAGCCTGAGTCTTAGCAGCAGCCACACTTTGACATTATTAGCAGTACAAGAACAAAGATGGTTTCAAGGTTAAACTACTGGGCCTGGAACTCAGTTTTCAAGTCATGGCTTTGCCAAAGGCTTCCTGAGTTTGATTAAATTCCTTAGGGTATGTTTACACTAGCCACCCTAGTTCGAACTAGAGTGGCTAATGTAGTCATTTGAACTTGCAAATGAAGCCCGGGATTTAAATATCCCAGGCTTCATTTGCATGTTCCCGGGCGCCGCCATTTTTAAATGCCCGGTAGCTTGAACTACCTGCCTGCGGCTACACGCGGCACGGGCTAGGTAGTTCGAATTAACACTCTATGAGTCCATTGGAGTAATGGTAGTTCGAATTTAGAGTGTTAATTCGAACTACCTAGCCCGTGCCGCGTGTAGCCGCAGGCAGGTAGTTCAAGCTACCGGGCATTTAAAAATGGCGGCGCCCGGGAACATGCAAATGAAGCCTGGGATATTTAAATCCCGGGCTTCATTTGCAAGTTCAAATGACTACATTAGCCACCCTAGTTTGAACTAGGGTGGCTAGTGTAGCCATACCCTTAATCTTTCTGTGCCTCAGTTCCCTATCTGCAAAGAGGGTAATGCGCCTTCCTTTCTTCTATGCCTTTGTCTCTCTCATTGTCTATTTAGATCAGGGCTTGGCAATAATTTTTGGTGGGAGGCCAAGGGCCACATTTTTCTGTGGAGGAGGTGTGGGATCTAGGGTGGAGGCTGAGTACAGAAGGGTGCCCGGGGTAAGGGACTGGGGTGCAGGAGACGGTGTGAGGTCTGAGACGGAGTTTGGGTGAAGGAGAGGGTTGTGACCTGAATCAGGGGAATGGGCAGGGCCAGACTAAGGGGTGGGCGAGCCGGGCAGCTGCCTGGGGTGCCAACCGATGGGGGGCGCCTGATGGCAGCTGTAAGGGGCATGCAGCGTCCCTTATAGCTGCCATGAGGTGCCGCGCGCCTGGCTCCCGCAGTCCCGGCCCCACGGCGCCAGCCAGCAGCGCCCTTCCCCCGACGGCTTCAGGGCCCTGCATGGCCCAGTGTGCGCATCAGCAGCGCTGGCCAGGCCAGGCTGGGCAGAGCATGTGCCGTGCGCCCCGGGGGCGGGCCCTCACATGCGCCGTGTGCCCCGAGGGCGGCGCCATGCGCCTGGGCCCAGGGCGCCAAAAGGGCTTGGGCTGGCCCTGGCTGGAGTCAGCTTACCTTAATACAGCAGGAGGCTGACAGGAGCAAACGCTCCCATTGACTTCCCTTACTCCTTGCAGAAGGAGGAGTCTTGGGGTATGTCTAAACTACATGGCTCCATTGATGGAGCCATGTAGATTTGTTTGATCGGCAAAGGGAAATGAAGCCATGATTTAAATAATCGCGCCTTCATTTAAATTTAAATGGCTGCCGCGCTGAGCCGAAAAACAGGATGGATGAAGGAGAGGATTCTGGCCTGGGGGAGGGTTGTAGGAAAGGGTGCAAGGTTTGGGAAGGAGTTATGATCTGGGGCAGGGCGATGCAGAGGGTTTGGATGGTGACCTGGGGGAGGGCATTGGGGTACGGATGGGGGGGGGGGGCCAGAGGCAGGGGCTGGCTGGGGTAAGCACCTCCTAGGCAAAGCCAGCAGCCTTTCAGCACCCCAGGGCAGGCTGGGCTCCTGGCCTGCCACAGCCCCAGATCACTTTAAACTGCAGGCTGCTCCCTCTACATGGCTCTCAACTCCACATGGGCGAACAGGGTTGCTGCTGCCCCACTTTCTCAGGCCAATCTCTCAGCTCTGATTGGCTGGGCCCTGGCTGGTTGTTTCCAGAGGCAGGGAGCCGGGAGATCACATTAAGTCTCCGCTCCCTGCAGAGCAGAGAGCCACAGGGACTGCAGCAGCTGTGTGCCTAAGGGTCCTAGCAGGATGGTCCATGGGCCGGATCCGGTGGCTTGGCAGGTCGGATCTGGCCCCCAGGCCATATTTTGCCCAGCCCTGATTTAGAAGATAGTTAATTGGGGCAGGGGCTGTCTCTTATTGTATTTGTACAGCACCCAGCACAATGGGGCCTGAGCCCACTGGGACATCTAGGTACCACTTTAATACAAAGAAATAACAAGAAGCGGGATAAATGAAGCTGCCATTAAGAGAAAGAAACTAGTTAAGGAGTGGGCAAAAATATATAGTTTCAACTTAGCCAAAATGAATCATGATACTATGGAAAAACCTCCAGATGAGCAAGAGATCTACTTTTTAAAGACTACTCCAGGTTTATAAATGAAAAGAAAGCTTAATGATATTCATCAGAGGCTTTTAGAAATGAAAGAAAGCAAGAACACTGTGCTGAGCAAAATACTGGATGCACGGTTCATTTAAGGTTTGTAATTGTAACTTTAATCCCCAGTGGTAGCTATATCTAAAGGCCTTTAAATCAAAAGGTCTTCTTGAAATGGAGTTTAATGTCAGTACTGAGTGGGAAGAAACTTACTGAGAAATTGTTCTGCAACATAATCCTCCCTCTTGATATGCCTTAATAACAGAGCCCAGCTAGTTAGCATGGTCAGAAGACATATTAATCAAGTTACCTACTTTATAATAATCATACAACAGGCCAAGAGCAGCAGCACTGTCTTCATCTCCATTTATGCTCATCATAGCCTTGGTAGCAGCTGTTAGAGGATTCTCCAGGTATGACTTCCAGGCTTCATCCTCGCTTGTGTAGGCTCGTCTGGTATTGAATGGTGTCTCACTGGGTACTAAGGCCACCAGCCGTTTGTTACTATAAAAACACAAGGCACACAATGGAAATTCAGTAGATATTTTTTCCTTTCAGATCTACAAACCACCTTACAATTTTCTGCTGTATAATCTTTCCAAGAAAGGATGATCAAAAAATATAAGCAGAGTGAAATTGATCTAACAATGTCAAGCAAAGACTTCTGTACTAAACTTGCTGCTAAATCATGTATAAATACTAGATAGATACCTTCAGAACTTAATATGTATCTATGAATCCAGAAGGCTTATCCTGCGTGCATCTGCACCCCAATGATTTGTGTGCATTATTCTCCTCACACTGTTCAATGTATAGTTGAGTATCTGTTAAAATAATTTTCAAATGTTGTAAAATAGCCAATAAAAATTATTAGACCTGTAACCAGTTGACTGAATAAAATCTTAACTAAAAAGTTGATACCAGGGAGCAATGTGACCCAAAACAAATAATAGCAGTATGCAATTGTATCCTTCGCCTAAATTTAAATATAATTAAAGTATATGCTGTATGTAGAGCCTTGTGTGGATACAAAATTTGTATCCATATCCGCAAAAATGAGCCACAGATATTTGCAACTACATATAAAGAGGCTTTCCATGAATTTGCAGGGCTCTAGCTGGATGCTCCATTTAATACACGTTTTATATTAGGGCTATTTTTCTCCCTTCTTGCTTACTTTGACAGTGATTTCAGATCGCCTTTCAATAATTGGATTATCTGTGGTGCAATGAGGAGGAGTGTGCAGCTGGAAGTCAGAAGACCTGGATTTCATGCCCATCTCTGCAGTTGATCTACTGTGGGAAAATCATTTAACCTTTCTGAGTCCCAGGCACTGCCCGTGCAGCGGACTTCAGTCTCCCATATAGCTGTAAACTCTTGGGCTGTGTCTAGACTGGCAAGGTTTTCCGGAAAATCATCTGCTTTTCCGGAAAAACTTGCCAGCTGTCTACACTGGCCGCTTGAATTTCTGGAAAAGCACTGACGATCTCATGTAAAATCATCAGTGCTTTTCCGGAAAAACTATGCTGCTCCTGTTTGGGCAGAAGTCTTTCTCCAAAAGAGTTTTGCGCGAAAGGGCCAGTGTAGACAGCATAGTACTGTTTTCCGCAAAAAAGCCCCGATCGTGAAAAAGGCGATCGGGGCTTTTTTGCAGAAAACCGCGTCTAAATTGGCCACGGACACTTTTCCGCAAAAAGTGCTTTTGCAGAAAAGCATCCTGCCAATCTAGACGCACTTTTCTGAAAATGCTTTTAACAGAAAACTTTTCCGTTAAAAGCATTTTCGGAAATTCATGCCAGTGTAGACATAGCCTTGGAATACACGGGCAAAGCTACTATCTACAAGCTAAGATTTGCAAAAATGTAGTTTGTCCTTGCTTGAAACTAGGGTACACTGAATCTGTGTGAAGTGTGGCTTTATAATGGTTTTTCCCACATACATCAGGAGTTTGCATTGATGTAACTACACTGATGGCTGACTAACAATGGCTGAAATTACCAATGCAGACTAAGCCTCTGTTACTGGAAATGAAAATAACAATGGCCACCTTTATGAAGTTCCTTGTAATCTTAAAGATAAAGAGCTATATAAATGCAAAGTATTATTACCACACACAAATTGTAGATAACCCAGCACTGGGAAAGAAGTGTTTGATCTGGACTGAAAGGCAGATAATCCCATTGTGCATTGGAAGCATTAGGTCAGTGTGATTGTCCAAACTATGCAACTGCTGAAATCTTTTTATACATTTCCTCTTAAAAATTTTATCAGCTCTCCACAGAAGAATCAAGCTGGGTAAAAATGACTTAGAACTGGATGTGCTCTTTTCATTTGCTAGCCTTTTTACTTGACTAGCCTTCAATGTGACTTTTAAAAAAAATCCTTTCAATCTTTTACATTTTTGTAAAATCTGCTCATTTTAAATTTGTGATTTTCCTCCAATTATTTTTTACCTAATCCTTAAACAAGAAAAAATTAATTGAAGTTAGTGGGACTTCTGTTAACACAAACACTTTGCAATATATCCCTATATTTGATCTGAGAAATAGAAGACAGTAAAGGTCACACTGAAGTCACAATCTAGATGAATGCTTCCCTTGCCCTTACTCCCCTGGAATATGCCCTGTCCTACAATTTTCCAGTTACAGAGAATCCCACTGTAAAGTTACTGATAAGCACAAACTTCACTTTGAAGCTACTGATGACTAAATGGACTTTGTAAAGTACAATTTCTTGATGCATAATGAAGGGATTTTTGGGGGATAGAGATTGACATCTCTACAGAACACAGCACTGTTTCCATGTTATTTTGTTTAATGCGAAACAAAATAATCATGGATCAACATTTTATGAGTTGCAGGAGAAAGCACTGCATTACTCCATTATACAAATAACTAGAATAAAGATCTCTGATTATTTTTTCTTTATGGTTAAAATATCTTGACGTTAAGATACTCCTTTCCTTTTTGCAGTGCCTTTCCACCATCATGTGGCCTTTTGCTCTATTTCAGGTCTTCTCCCTCTCATTTCCTCATGTATAATTGGGTACCTACAGTTACAGCGAGGGAAACCAAAGCATGTATTTATAATACAAGCAACAGATGTAAGAAACTGCACAGCCTGCTTTCCTTCTCAGCTTTGTATTGTTAGTGACCCTCAACTCAGATTTGCAATCGCCTCTTTCTTTGTGCTTATGAGGTGACTGAAACATTGTTCCCTCCATCAAAGAGCCACTTCTCTCCAGCTAAGAGGTAATTATTCAGTCTTCCTATTCTTCTTTCCTAAAGACAGCTCTCCTTTTACTAAATACATGATGGTTTTATGACAAAGGCAATTTGCCCACTGTGAGCAACACAAATACCATATACTCCTAGGGTATGTCTACATTAGCTCGTTAATACGAGCTAGATAGGCAAATGAGTCAACCGGAGTTGCAAATGAAGCCCGGGATTTAAATATCCTGGGCTTTATTTGCATGTTCCCGTCTGGTCGCCATTTTGAAATTTCACTAGCTCAAACTCACTGCCGTGCAGCTACACGCAACAGTGAAACATTAATTCGAACTAAGTCCTTAGTTATCCTCATGATACTATCTATATTTTTCGGTTAGTTTCTAAGGGCATGTCTAACAGGCTTATTATTTCGAAATAATAACCCTTGCTTATGATAGTTCTACTTTGAAATTGTTATTTTGGGAGTTATTATTTTTTTAAAAATGTCCCAGTGTAGACATGCCCTGCGGTACTACAGGACCATTTGTTGTTTTTTAAGTATTTTTAGTTACAGACTAACACGACTACTCCTCTGAGACTTTTATATATATTTTTATTAGCCTCCTAGGGTATGTCTACACTACAAAGTTAATTCGAACTAACGGACGTTAGTTCGAATTAACTTTGATAGGTGCTACACTAGCGCTCCGCTAGTTCGAACTTAATTCGAACTAGAGGAGCGCTTAGTTCGAACTAGGTAAACCTCATTGTACGAGGACTAAGCCTAGTTCGAACTTACTAGTTCGAATTAAGGGGTGTGTAGCCCCTTAATTCGAACTAGTGGGAGGCTAGCCCTCCCCAGCTTTCCCTGGTGGCCACTCTGGCCAACACCAGGGAAACTCTACTGCCCCCCTCCCGGCCCCGGACCCCTTAAAGGGGCACGGGCTGGCTACGATGCCCATGCCAGGTGCAAGCCTGCCAGCACCCAGCTAGCAGACCCTGCACCTGGCACGGCTCGAGCCAGCCACCTGATGCCCTCCAGCCCTCCCCCACTTCCGGGGACCAGCCTGGCGGCTCCTGGGAGCCTGCACAGGTCCGCAGGAGGCGGGCGCCAACCTGGTCTAGTGCGGACATCGTGGACCTCACCCATGACCTCTGCACTAGGCACAGGAAAGTGGCCATCTAGGGCAGGATAGCTGCCAGCCTGGCCACCCAGGAGCAGGTGTGCATGAAAATCAGGGTGGTCCACTGAGACCCCCGA